CCCCAAGAGCCTCTGTCCTCTCTGGGGCTGTGTGTAAAATTAATTGATAAAGCATAATCGCTGTATCAATGCCTTTTTTGGAAAAGATAAAGTACACTTCAAAGCTAATTTAGGCCTGCAGACAAATGGCTTAAAGAAGAGCTACTGTACTGAAAAATGGCCGTGTCATTTTTTCCCCAAATCATAGTTTCAATGCACACAGCCTCAGCCTGACATTCTGAATTATGGCTTTTATTAAACATTAGTAATAGAGTGCACTTAAATCATGGTTTCCCTGTAAAAGAGAGATGTGTTCAACTCAGATCTGCACATTTTAATGCCATATTTCTTCCTTTTACTCTCCCCGCAAGATAAATTTACTTACTCCACAAAAATGTTTTGCTGAAAAGAATAATTCATCCTTCAGTGTCCATCTAATGCACCTTGTGAGTAATGTGAAACGATGCAAAAATTACAATGCACCGGCCATGTCTGGAATGCTTAGATGCCTCCGAGTTAGAGGTTATGCACACAGAGTATTGAAATTAGATTTAACAACTATCATCTTTTACAATGTTGCCTTGATGATTTTTTTTTTTACCCCTTTTATAGCTTTGATCAGATGCCTTCTGAATACATTGCCGGTAACAAACCTCACAGTCTGCTGCTCTGCAAGCCCTGCTCAGCTCTGAGCCAGGTTGCCAATTGATGCTTTTCTTTCTTTCTTTTTTTTAAAGTGAGAATATTTGTAGCCACAATTTGCTCTAGCAGTTGAAATTCAGATTATATTTTTACTCCATGAGTAGATCAAAAATAAGTGGTGGGGTGACCAAACAGCTGTGGAGATAGCATCCTCTAGATAGCAGATTGTGCTGTGCTGAGCCCCCAGTCCTCACAGAGTGAGGGCAAACCTGTGCCCTCTGGCTGGGTAGCTGGGAGAGCTCTGCATCCTCAGCACAGGGTGGATGGACCATGGGCTCCATCCCAGCACATGTCCCCAGCCCTGGCACAAGCACCGGGCCAGCATCTCGCTCTAACTCAATTCCTGGTCCAGCCATCCTCTCTGGGTACACACAGGCAGAGCCAGCCCTGCAATGTGACCTTTCTTTAAAGGACAGCAAGTGTACCATTGAATCAATGTCCCTCTGCCAGGAGCTCTGCATTGGAGCTGCATTGCAGTGTCAGCAGCAGGGCTGCTCCAGCTCTCACCTGAATCCCACTGACGCTTTGGGGAGCGTGGTGCCACAGCCCTGCTCTGCTGCTGGAGGGGGACAGCGGGTTTGGAGGATGCCAAGCACCTATAGACACCTATAGGGACGTGGGCTTGCTGAAAATCTGATGCTGTTAACTCCCTGTGGAGTCTGACTAACAGGGAGAAGATGGTATTTAGTAAGCACTGCAAATCTTTTGCTTTATTTATTGGTAGCATGGCAGGGATATTAACTTATTGGTCCCCCAAGATTCCTCCAATGTTGGTAACAAAAGCAGAATCCCTCTGTTTTGTCAGTTCCAGGTCCCTGGGGTAGGAGCAAACGCCATTCCCAGCAACCCTCCCTTGAGATTTGCCAGCCCTACTCACACTAACACACTACAGGAATATTTATGATTTACAGGGTATTTTTTTGTATTGATACCTGGGACTCGCAGCAGGGTTATGATCCCATTACACACAGCCAATAGGAAAACCAGTCTTGTAGATTGTTTGCAAGAGAGCTATAAAAATGTGACTAAGAGAAGCAACTTCATCTATCCCACACAGCAGTTTAGCAGGGAAACTTCTAATGGTACCTCTATCATCTCAGAGCCTCAGAGAAAAGGTTTGTCTGAATTAGCTGCTCCAGGATGAGTCCCCAAGGAGCAGGTAAAGACTTCTCAATTTGACCTGCTGAACTGAAGTTGTTATTGAGACCTAAAATTATTGCTGTGCTATTGTTGTTTGGTGGATGACAACAGGAAAATCGCTGGACAATGGACATTGGCAATGACTTTATTGATAACTTGGTGACTTTGGCTGTCTTCACTATGGTCCCTTCCACTGAACTTCAGTTCCATTCAAATTTCCTCTCAAAGAGCATAAATGCTTCCAAACTGAAGTGGAAAAACCTCCAGCACATTAGCTAATAGCACATCAGAGGAAGTGCCTGGCTGAGACTGTAACCTCAGTAGGCATCTTTACATGGGAGGACGTAAACTGTCTCTGAATTATTTATTGAACCAAAGTCATCAAATTGGACAATTAACCTTGAAAACTTAATTTAAGCACCATAAAAGAAACATCTCCTGAAAAACTTGTCCTTAATAAAAGCCAGAAGCACAAACTGTAGCGGGTTCTGCCATGGTCCATTGCAGGAGCTGAGAACTTCAGCAGGTTTGTCCCTGAGGAGGGATTAGGGCTGGAGGTGACTTGGCAGAAACACAGGAATTTGGAGAGCAGAGCAGAGCATCCCTGCTGCTCCAAAGGATGCTGCTCCATCAGCAGGGCTGCAGAGGGATCCTGGGCAGGCACAGGCTCTGTCTGCCCTGCCCAGCCCCAAACCCCACTGCTGTTCCCCAGTCCCTCATTTCCCCACAGGGATGGAGACACGGGAAGTGATGGAGCTGGAGGCTGCCAGGTGTCTTCACTCCCTTCCCTAAAATCATCAGATGAGTGGAGTTGTTCCAAAGGATTTTACCACACAAAGGCTTTTTCCCAGCCTGGAAGCTCTTTGGAAGCAAAAGGCAGTTTCCCTCCTCAGTGCCCTCTGCTGAGCAAGAGCTCCTGCTCTAGGATGGTGTCTGCTGTGCTCTTCTGACACCACTAAATGAGGGAAGCTGCAGAAGGCTTCAGCAATTTATTCTGTTTAATTTCCTCCACAAAGGTGTTTTATCCTCGCTAATAAAAAGAGTGGAACTTGATCATTTCTAAAATATTGTCCCTTCTAAATCTTTATGGCTCAAAGTGGACTGAGATCATTAGAAGTTACTTTATGTGCAGCTCAATCAGCTCCAAAGGGCTATCTCAGTCACTCTGTGCTTGCTGAGAGCAGATCCCATTTCCCAGAGGCAAAAGGACAATACTTAATCACTTCCTCACTTGTTAGGTGTTTTAACAAGTTGTATTAAGCTTCATCAGTTGGAGCTTTCATGCCAGATTAAAAATGACAGTTCACTTCTCTGTTATTATAGGACATCATTTGTTTTCTTTTATTTTGCTGGGCACTTGCATGCCACTGTAATTTCACATGAAAATGTATGACTGATGTCACACAGAAGTAATTAGGTTTTAAAAGCCTTGATTGCAATAGACACGGATGTTATGGCTTTATGGTGCCAGTGCTTTGCCATCCACTTTATGGCTGTTGATTCTGCAAGTATTTCATAGATCTGTCAATAGGAATAAGTTAGCTGCTGTTGACTGGAACTATTAATCAGAACGAAGGAAAATATACATTTTTATTCCTGCTCTCAGACTTGATAGCTCAGTAAAAGCCTCCCTACCCAGCTTTGCAACACTCCAGGGTTCCCTCACTGCTGAAATTAGAGAGATGCAGGGAAATCCTGGGCTCCTTTCAGATTTATAATCAAATTTTTTTTAACACACTGTGTTGGAGAGACCTGTTCTTTGCCACTGTATATGGATGTTGTATTTTAATGCTCAGGGAAGAACACAATTAATTGTTCTAGCCTTCCAATAATATATTTTAGGGATCCATCTGATTCCAGTGAGAGAGGAATGGAGCTGTTGCCTTCCTGCTGTGCTCTAAGCAGAAAGTGGGTCAGAGTCAAGAGCTCAGAGGGTTGCATTTACAGCTCAAAACTCAGCTCTGGTAGTGTGGAATTAGACCACTCATGTTAAAATGCACTTTTGTGGTCATGACAAATCTAGGAACCTTCTGGTTTGGCAACCAGCAGGGAAACAGTGTAGAATATAAGGAGGTGAGATCCTGGTACTGTTGAAGGTGAGTGCACAGCATCCCTTGACCTCAGTGGGATTGGGAATTTTCCCAGCCAGCTAACTGCTGATTCAGGTTTCAGAACAACTGCAAAGCTTGGGAAACCAGGGAGGATTATTTAAAAGAGTCTGTGTACAGCCCAACAGTCTGAACCATTTCACAGTGATCAAAACCCCTCATGCTTTTGTCATGAGAACCACAATAAAGAGTTCAGCTGCTGGTTTCATTTGTGATGTCAAGTTCCTCATATTAAAAAAAAGTTGGTCCCTTTCTACAAAAGCAGAATTTATAGATATTTCCTTTTTTCTGATGTCACCTCAGTGGTAAGGTGCTCCTGAAACAGCAGTGAAGGTGCCCTTGGGTAAGGCAGACCCAGACCATTCCCACTGCTCACTCTGAAAGCCAGACTCATGAAATGGATGTGCTGGGACCTATCCCAGTCCATAGGAATGTCATCTCTCTCTCTCTCTCTCTCTGTCTCTCTGGTTACATCAGCCTTTGATTCAAATCTTGGGCAAATATCCCAGGTGGCAAGAATGGACTTTGCTGTGCCAAGAACAGCGAGTCCATTCCAGATCTGGGGACTTGATCCCACCCAGTTCACTCCAAAACAGGTTGGCTACGGCTACAAAACGCTTTGAGCCCAGCAAAGTGTGGAAAAGTGGAGCTTTTCTCTCGATTGCTGCAGTGTCCTTGCTTTTCCAGAGCTGAAGCCATATCCAGAGCCTGACCACAGCATCCTTGGGAGGTTCAGCCATCCAGGAGGCACCAGGAAAGCTGGCAGCTTCAGGTGCCAGCTCCTGTGCACTAAACAGAGTAATGAGGAGACTGCTGTCTGCTCGTGTTTAATGGAAAAAGGATTTCTCCTGCACTGTTGTTTTCATGAAAGGAGCTCTGCCTTCCATGGGATATTCCATGTTTTTTTTTCCCCCCTTTTTCTCCCCCAAAAGAAAATTCTAGATAGCAAACACAGGAAGAAAAAAGGCTGAATTGCCAGCTGATAAGCCCAATTTCACTTGACCCCTGAGCTCTATCGGTCACTCCTAACAATGGGATGTACTCTTATCTCAGCACACCACTTAACACCCATTAATGCTTTGGGGAGTGAGTCCAGCTCTTTCAGATCCCCATGTAAGGATTTATTTCAAACACTGAGATGAGTGGGATGGCTGCCTTTAGCAGCTGCAATCTGAAGTGCTGCTCTGTCCTGCTCAGTACTCTGTTCACTGTAAAGCTTTAACCCAGTGGATTAAGGACCTGTAAGAAAAAAAAGAAAATCACTTAGAGCAGATTTGCAGCTGGTTTGAGCTGGGAAAGCTCCTGCAGCACACGCTGGTACCAGTTCCCTTACTCTGGGAGCATTGGCATTGCTCCATAAATCAATTCATCCAGCTTCCCTGCCTGATGGGTGTGTTGACTTACACGAGAGAAAAGTCTGGTTCCTCACCGAGTCTGGAAACCAGGCCTGACTTTGGATGCAAATTCTGGAAGTTTTTATTGGGAATTTGGAGTTTCTTTGAGCTGTCTCCATCTCTTTTCATTCTGCAGGAATGGAATAAAAATTCAGGCCATACTAAAAAAAAAAACAAAACAAAAAAACCAAAAACCAACCTTCTAAAATTATTTATTCATCTAATTATCCTGAAATAATTTTAAACCAGATTAAACTAAACAAGGCTGCAGACTTTGCTCTTTTCAGAAATTTCCAAGGAGAGTTGAGACAGATGCACAGGTTTTTCAACCTCTTACAAGTTTGTTTGCCACTACTGGGCAGAATTAATAACTTCAGTTCAAATTTGTAATTTTGAGTTTATAACAGAAACAAAATTAAATAGATATATAAAACAGAGCAGCCTTTCCATATCTCTGATTACAGTGATTGCAACCACAATTTAGGTCAATACAACTGCCTTCAACAGACCCTTTTCAAGAGAAGATGTGCATCAACTGAGAGTCCAAGGCTGCTGCAGAAGGGTTCCCAGACTGACAGCACAATTTACTAAATCCTTGTGGAGGAATGGCAGAAAAATTGGCTTAGGCCACTGAAAATAAAAAATAACACGGTGAAAATAAATATTATAATTAAAATTTTTCTTACTTATTGGGCTGGAATAGAAGAGCCTGAAAATTGCAGAAATAAGCTCATCTTTACTCTGTCTGTATCTGTCCAAACCGATTCTGTCCCAGTCACTGGTCCCAGTCAAAATTTGGAACAACCCCTTTCATATTTCCAACTGGTTTTAAGTTTCTCATGTATTTTGACTGAATGCAATATCTGACTTCAGTAAAGTGTGTTTTCTTTCTAAAACGCTTTTAGCCCTGATTCATAACTGGTAGGAAAAAATAATCTATGGAATGAAATATGCAGAGGGTTTTAAGCAAATATTTAGGCAAAAAGCAGCTGGTAAATCTCTAATGAATGGCTGGATGTAGAGCTAACACATAATTCATGGCATGCCAGCCAGAAGAGCCTAATCCATCTCCTCTGCTCCTCACTCCTCATGACATCCCGGGATCTGGGGCTGCACTGTGAGCACCCAAGGCCAGGAAAGGAGGTGCTTCCACCTTTCCCTGGGCTCTGGAGCCACAAGGTTGTTGTCCAGGAATATTTTCTCTGGTTCAGCTTCTCCTGCCCTGGTTTTAAGGACAGGCTGTTGTATGGGGGGACTCGGGTGACAGAGGTTTGGAAGGATAAACTGATCACCCTTGGCAGATGTCATCACTGCTGCATCCATCCATGCACTCCCATTCTTCTCCACACACAAGAGCTTAATAAAATCCCACATATCCTGTAAAGAGCCCCATTTCCCCTTTAACTTTAGTAACACTTTAAAATAATGGGACATTGCTACTGCATTACAAAGCAATTCCCTTGGATGGATCCCTGGCACGGTCCTTATCAAATGAGTTCAAGGTGATTTATGTTATCACAGTGATTTTGCATCTTGTTTATTACTTTCTAGAGATCACTTTGCAGTGATTTTTAAGGTGGCATGGAAATTACCACCTGAACTGTCCTCTAAATCAATGAAGCCTTTTCCTGCCCTATAATAAAGCTCTCTTATGGTTTTCAATGAGCAGATTTTAGCTAATGCTTAATTACTGTGGATGTGCAGGTACTAAGCACAGGACAGTCAACAGCATTAATAAAACCCTGAGAGTAAAAATAAACCAGGAGGTACAATAAGGGGGACATTAGGGAGTGAAATGTTCACCTCTGGCATTGCCTTGAGGGGACACTGGGATCTCACTGTGACATCTCAGCTCTCCAGTGTCTCATGGACGTTTTCTCCTGTGAGATGTTGCTGACCCAGCCCATTGTTGCCTAAAATCTCTCCATGCCTGAAATGCTGCCCTTACCACAGGGCTGAGATTCTCTTCATTGATTCCTGAGACAATTTCCCAGTCATTTGGAAGAACTGATCTGCAATTGGTGCTGGATGTTTCATATAAATGCATCAGGGGTGACAACCAGGGTGGGTTTGTGGTGGGACAGGTCCTGGCCATCTTCAGCTTGTTGTTCCAACAGCAGGAGGAGGAGGAGAAAAAAACCACACTGTTCCCTCCATCCCTGCCCATGTAATGGCTCACCAGCATCCAAACACTCTCTCCTCCATGGAAACCAGTCACCTTCTCCTCTGCTTCACTGCAGGCTAAAAAGTTATATCTGCAGTGCCCAGCATTCCACAAATCACAGCTGGTCCTGTCAGAGGATCCCCAAAAGCTCAGTGCTGTCGTCTTTCTCCCTGCTTTCTCACAAAGAGGCTTTAAAGAAACACATTTTCCAAATTTTCCCTGCTAAAGGATGCAATTTAATATGAGACTGGGGATGACATTTTTTTGTCACAGGGTTCTTGGAAATGGTGTTGGCTAGTGGTTTGGGCACAAGTAAATGGCAGGAAAAAGATGAACTGGTGTGAGATGGAAAAATTTCCCCACACCTGGGTAAAAAATCCCAGATTTTGGGCACAGGAGCAGAGGAACAGGCTGGTCACTGCAGGCTCAACAGCTGCTTTCTATTGGCAGAGTCAATCCTCCAAGCCACTGCCAGCCTGCTCATCCTTTTGGATATCATCCTTTGCAGCAATGCATAACCAAAGATGAATTACAACAGAAGAGTTGAGGGGTTTTTTTACCGAAACATGCTGAACTCACAAAAATCCAGCACTAGCAATAAATTCTCAGCATAATCTTAAGAACAGGATGTTTAAATGTGACCAATACTCCACAGGAGCATGTTCTAACTCTTGTCTGAAGCCTGCCTTTCTTCCACTTCTGAGCAGCTTTATTTTCATTCCCCAGAGGAGTTGCATATAAAATAGATCATTTTAGCGTTACTCCATAACACCTTCTTATAACTGATACATTGTATAAATAAAATGAAGCATTAATAAAAACGCTTGGTGTCTAGCTCCAGCTCTAATTTGAATTCTCACAAGCAGGAAAAAAAAAACAACTCAAACCTCCTGGAAGTGATGCTAACAAATTTCACAGACAAGACACTGAGAAAATGCGAGCACTTCAGGAGAAGGTGGCCACACAGCCGATAAATCCTCTTCCTTAAGCCAACTATTCCTTGTCTATAACGTTCATAAAACTCTTTGCACAGAAGACCCTCCGTGATGAAATAAACCATCAATCTCCACTGCATTACTATTCATTTTCCATGTGTGCTGAGAGCAAATGTCATTCAAGGCATTACAGTTCTCTCAAACTATATTAAAATACATAGTCTGATGTTACATCTTTTCGAGCCTCTCTGTTCATAAATTGTCGCTGCTGATTGGAACATAAAACATATTTTATAATGCCATAAAACCCCAGAAGATACAAGATCACTCATGTTTGTCTTTATGGCTCAATGTGTAGGACCTCGAGATGCTAAAGCATTGTGTATTTCATAACAGCAATGGCCAGGGCCCCGTGGAGAGGAAGCCTTAGACATTTCCATAAAACAGTATTACCCTATTCCTTGATGACTGCAGCACCTCTGTGCACACAACCCGAGCCCTTAACTTATGAACTGTAAACGGATGAGTTTTCCCAATAAATCAGCTTTGTTTAGGAGCAGAGTTATCCTGCCCAGCACTTAGCTTTGAATGTTATCTCCAGGTGTCAGAGTAATGATGACTTTTTTCATTCCTCCATTTTTCTTTTCTCCCTGATATGGCTAAGAAAACTTCCTTTCTAGGGATAAGTCCCCTGAGAAGTTGGTGAGATATTTCAACATGTTAGGAAATTAGATCATCTTCCCAGTGATGTTCTGTGGCTCCATCAGACCTGTTATTTCTGAATCCTCTTTGGGGAGCAATGGCTATCACCTTCCAAAGCACTGGGATGCTTCTGTGTGAAAGGCAAGTTCCTGCCATCATCTCCTGCAATCCCTGCCCTTATGTACCCCCAGGCTTCAATTCAGACCTTTTACACCCTGTTTGCTGCACTAGAGCAGTGCCAGGGTGCCCCATCACTGAGCCCTGAGCTGCCAGGGTCACAAATCAGCCCCCAGAAAACGCAGGGTGGGGCCAAAAGTTGGGTTTGAACTTGAGGTTCACTGCAGCACCTGATGGATTTGGAGGCAACACTGCAGGGAGATGGATGCTGAATCTCTGAATTTGGGGATGGGTGCCTGCCCATCCCCAAAGCATCTGAAGGGTGGAATTCTGGGTGGAAATTTAAAAAAATAAAAAACAAACAAAAAAAAAATTAAAATAGGCATGAAGGCTGCTGGCTTATTGTCAAGAGAGTTGACAAACCCTTACAATCTCCAGATATCCAACCTCTCCAGATAAGAGCAGGGACACAACCTCATTCTGCTCTCAGGAAAAGTCCCAGGAGGTGATAGAGTCCCAAAAACTCCATGATATCTGAGCCTTGGGACTGGCAAACATAGCCACGACCTGCTGTGGCTCCAGCATCCCAGCCAGATTTGCGTGAGGATCCCAGCAGCCCTGCCGACCCTGCAGTTTGGCAGGACAGCCTCATCCCATGTGCCGCAGAGCTAAAGCCTTGGTATTCCAGTGGTTTCCTCTCTGCAGAAAGCTGTGCAGTATTTCCACCCCTTTAAAGGTCTATAAGAGGTCTCATCAAAGCCAGGTATAGTTTATATTGCAGATGGCTGCTGACATGATATAATCCACACTAACAGGCAGGCTGTTAAAGGTCAGAGTCTCACTTCACTTCTGTTATTAGCTTTGATGTTGGGAAGATGCTGAATTCCCTTCGTGTCTTTTTCTTTTAGAGGGAGAAAAGACACTGTTTACTGTCAGGCTCTTCATCAACATAATTGGTGGCTTCTCTGGAATCGCCCCTTTGCTCTAAAAAGCGCTGTAAATCAGCTGTGGGAAGCCTGGTCTTTGAAAAATCCTCGAGCGGAAGAGGAACGCGAGCAGCAGTTTGCAGGATCGGCTCCATGTCTGTGCCAGATGTGTGCAGCAGGCAGGGCAGGCTGGAGCCTTCCTCATCCTGCATCCCTAAGCTGGAAAAACTGGTCACAGCTTTAAGACACGAGCATAGCAGAGCCCTGGAAACTTTGGGGAGCCCCCCAGGAGCTGCTGCAGGCTCTGGATCCGGATGGAATCTGCAGCTCCGTGTGCTGCTTCCATGCACAGGGGGATGCTGCTCCCAGCATGTGCATGCCAGGTTGTTGTGTGGCTGCTCCACACAGCCCCTGCCTGCCCCAGAGCCTCGGAGGTCCCTGAGGGAGCAGGGATCATCCCTGGCCATGCAGGCTGTGCAGCCAGACCTGCAGCACTACAGCACACCAGCAAATATTCCTGGAGGTGGGATGATTTGTTTCAGGGATTGACGGGCCAGGGCTGCTGTCCTTGGAGCCCATGCAGGGCTGCATCCTCCCCATCCTCCCCATCCCACCGCTTGGATCTCACTCAGCACAGTGGGAATCTTCAGCCCTGTCTGCCACCCTGTTCTAAACAGGACCCCAAAGGCAGCTTTTGCTGCCGAGTCCCTTGCTCAGAAATAAAACTGACATTACTCCAGCTTCCAGCTCGCTGGGGACTCCGGCTCCTGGAACAACATCTCATCTGATCTCAAGTAAGAGATTAGATGACATTATGCCTGGAAAAATCCTTGGAAAGTCCCTGCTGAGCTTGACCAGTCCCCTGTGCGGACCCCAAGCCCTTCCCGAGCTGGGCACGGCAGAGGGAGGCAGGGGCTGGGGCTGTCCACGCTGGGCTCTTTGATCTCAGCAATAGTGAGGCTTTGCCTGAAGATGGCACTACAGAATGGCTGGGGCGAGCGTGGATTAATCCTGCGCTGACCAGCCAACACTCCCAGCCTCTATTCCCCATCAAATGTGTGTCCATCTGCCGTGCCCTGCCGGGTTGGGGTCTGCTGGGGGGAAGGACAGCAGAGGTCACTGTGTGCCCGACAGACACACACCCCAAATCCTCAGGGGAAGGCTGAGCTCTCCCTGTTCCCTGCAAAGCTCGGGCTTCCCAAAGCAAAATCGGGCTCTTGCTTTTCGTGTTCATGAGTTTCATCCGTCTTGCTCCTGACTTGGTGAAACTGCAGCAGCGATTTTTGTTTGCCCCCATGAATGGCACCACAGAAGCTCCCAGGGGCAGTTGCAGAGCTGAATGATCTCAAACCCTCTCATTTTGGGCCAGCGTGGTGGGATGGTTATTCCCCCTCTTCCTCCCTATCCCCTGCGTGTAGCTCCATTAAAACAGGCCACAACAGGAAGGAGTTACCAATCTCCTCAGCCTTGCACAGCAAATTGTCTCCTTCCCACTGTACTGGATCAGGAACTGTGCCTCCCAAATCACCTAAATCCCCAGGCATTAATGCCAAAAATCCCCACAGCCCTCAGGTGGCCCAGGTGGAGATGTTTCAGAAGCACTTTCCTGAGAGTTTCCAGCAGTCTCCATGGGCAGCCAGGGGGGAATTCCTGGGCCGAGGGCCAGGATGCAACAGGGAGGGAATGGGGAAAAGTCAGAGATGAATTGATGTTTGTCCACGAGGGGCCTGGCGGAGGCAGAGTGCCCGGGCACGGGGCAGCCATGAGTGAGAGCAGCTCCGCGTTATCGCTGGTGCCAGGTCACACCCGCACCTTTGTGTCCAGGTGAGAGCCAGAAAAGGGCTCATCCAGGCAGGGGGTGGGGGTTATGGCCAGGGAAAGACAAGGCCTGCTTAAATCCACACTGGGAAGCAGGGCTGCTGGAGGCAGCCA